CGGCTACAGGTGGCAAAGGTATTTCCACCTGGAAGAGAAAAATAGCCTAAGCAATAGACCAAACAATAGATTGTTGTTTTAGACAATTTTGGTCCGAAAGACTTCGGGGATTTTTTTTTATCCTTTAGCCAGTGCATCCTCTACACAGCCAGCAGAATGTTCCATCTAAGACAGAGCTCTAATCATTTATCTCTGCACTTTATGCATCTATCATAAAGTAGGGGGAAGGAGTAACTATAGCGGGGCAACCTGACGAACACTACTTCAGCCAGGTTATCGATCAAAGTAAGCATCAACAGCCAAAACCACACTGACAGTATACACCCTTAATATGATGTGATGAAAATGGCATTTTACTTCTGTAGTCTTCTGTCCATAACCCACATTCCCAGTCTAATCATGAGAAAAGATCAGACACCTCCTAGAAAAGGGGCAGCCTCCAATATACCTGACCTGTCGTCCTCAAAACTTCAAGATCACGAAGACATACAAATGACACTAGGCACATGAAAAAATGCTCAATATCACTATCAGAGAAATGCAAATTAAAACTACAATGAGGCATCACCTCACACCAGTCAGAACGGCCATCACTAAAAAGTTCACAAATGATAAATGCCGGAGAGGGTGTGAAGAAAAGGGAACCCTCCTACACCATTGGTGGGGGTATAGTTTGGTGCAGCCGCTATGGAAAACAGTATGGAGATTCCTCAAAAAACTAAAACTAGACTTACCATATGATTCAGCAGTCCCATTCCTGAGCATATATCTGGAGGAAACTCTAATTCAAAAAGATACATGTACCCCAGTGTTCACAGCAGCACTATATACAATAGCCAAGACCTGGAAACAACCTAAATGTCCATCGACAGATGACTGGATAAAGAAGATGTGGTATATTTATACAATGGAATACTACTCAGCCATAAAAAAGAATAAAATAATGCCATTTGCAGCAACATGGATGGACCTGGAGATCATTCTAAGTGAAGCAAGCCAGAAAGAGAAAGAAAAATGCCATATGATATTACTCATACTTGGAACCAAAAAAAAAAAAAGAGGATACTAACAACTCATCTACAGAACAGAAACTGACTTGCAGACACAGTAAACAATCTTATGGTTACCAGGGGGAAGGCACTGGGAAGGGATAAATTTGGGAGTTTGAGATTTGCAAATGTTAGCCATTCTATATACAAATAGATTTTAAAAAAGTTTCTTCTGGTGCTTGCTTTGGCAGCACGTATACTAAAATTAGAATGATAGAGAAGATTAGCATGGCCCCTGCACAAGGATGACATGCAAATTTGTGAAGCATTCCATATTTTTATTGTAAACTGACTATAACCCAATTTAAAAGTTTCTTCTGTATAGCGCAGGGAGCTATAATAATATCCTGTAATAATCCTTAATGAAAAAGAATATGAAAACGAATATATGGTACATATATGCATGACTGGGACATTGTGCTGTAAACAAACAAACAAAAACAAAAAACAAAAAAACAAGGAGAGTGTGAAAAACTCACAGCCAGGTGGAGCCTAAGGGGACATGACGACTAAATGGAATGTGGTTTCCGGATGAGCTCCTGGAACAGAGAAAGGACATTAGGTAAAAGCTAAAGAAATCTGAATGAAGAATAGGCTCGAGTTAATAACAATGCATTAACGTGTGTTCCCCTAGTGACAAATGTACCGTACGAGTGTAAGATCTCAATAGTAGAGGAAACTGCATCTGTGCAGATGGGAGGTTATACGGGAACTCTCCCTACTATCTGCTCAATTTTTCTGTAAACCTAAGACTGTTCTAAAAAAATAAATCCTACTAAAAATCAAGTTTATTTAAAAATCCGCCTCTGGTTTTTTGTCCCTGCAGGAGGGTTTCCTAAAATTCAGAGATCAAAGTGGGTCCTGGAAATGATTACAGGGGTCACAGGCAGTCTGAAATATCCCTGAGCGAGAGTGAAATCTTCCTTCATGGACCATTTTTAATCCTTCTGATTCAGCAACGAAAAGAAACTCTGTTCAGCCCTACAAACACATCTCTCACCTTTGCCAGTTTCCCTTTTCAACAAAGAGAGAGAAAGCTTCAGACTCAGAACTCTGTTTTGATTATTGATAATTTATCTTTATTGCTTTTACTTTCACTATGTTGATTGTTCTTATATTTGGTGATGGCTATGTATGGAAAATCATCCTACTTCCTCATTTATGACTGTGGTACTTTTTACTTAAAGTAAATTTATTTACATAAAACAGCCTATTGAAGAAAGTACTTAATTCAGACTACGTATTGTCTTCAGACATAGCAAGAATCAGGCAAGCAGCACACAAGTTACTGGAGTTGAGAGTCAATGGCCAACAGGATTAGGTCTCAACCCCTCAGCCTGGTACTCAAGGCCCTCTCCCACCTGGGGACATCTGTCCAGTCTCCTGTCACCAGATGCTCCACCTTGCAAATCCATGGATGCCTAGGAGATCAGATGCTGATGCCCAGACACCAAGGGCTTAGAAGAAACAAGAGAGGCCCGTGGAGAGCAGGTTTAAATGCAAGGTGCTGAGCTTTGTCTGGGACTTCCTTCCACGTGTGGCCTGAATTCCTCTAGGCTCCACACTCCCATTCTCTCGTCTTCTTGGCTGACAGTGGCACTGATGAAGCAAGAAACTCCTTGAAGGCCCTGTGAGCTGTACAGCTGTGCTGGAGACCAAATTTGCAACATGGAAGCACTGCTGGTGAGTAGGAACAGGATCTGAATCCCAGCCCCACACGTCCCCCATCTGACCTGTGGCCTGATGCATCCCTGAAGCAGAGGGCTTGCTGAGCACCGGTGCGAAGCCTGGCCTCACCGCATATCCTCTGGGGGATCCTGCATGAGGGATGTGAGCTCTCCGGGCCTGCTTCTCCTTGTCAGTAAAGTGAGGATAATATTAATACCTGAGGATAATACCTCCCTAACGGGATTACCATCAGGATAAATGAACTCACGTAAGGACAGCATTTAGCACAACACTGGCACCAAGTAAATGCGCTATAAATATGCACCGTTCCTGGTCATCTCTGTGGGCCCCTGTTCCCCTCACTGTGAAATGTGGATCATGGCAGGACCCACCTCATGGGACTGCAGTCAAGAATGAAGGAGTGGGTTTAAATGCATTTAAACAAGTCCATCATGCCATGGCCTGGCTCCTAGCAAATGCTCAGTAACGTTCAATATGATATTTATCTTTGTTTCCTTGTTATCAATCCTTATTATTACAAATCAGTGATCCCAAGATTAGAATGTCTCTCCCATCTTTTGTAACAGCAGTTTACAGATACCAGAAGCAGTCAAGGCGGATTTTTAAGGTGAACCTTAGGCCAAAATTAAGTCTCTGTGCCTCAGCAGAATGAAAGAGACGGGTGGGCCTGCGTGGGGTGCAGCAGGGTGTGAGGCGGCAGCTCTCCTCCCAAAAGGACTGGGTTGTGGGTCAAGAAGCAGCAGCTCCATCTGGCCAGCTGGGCTCTTATAATCTGGCCTGAAGGCAAGCCGGCTCCTTCAGGAAGTTCTGTGAGGTAAGAAATTCTTGTCCAACAAAAGTTTTTTTCCCAAAAAAAGGATTCATAATGAAAAGGGCAAATGACTTTGCAGGTTGCCCAAAATGTGCCTGAATGTGAGAGAATTGCATATCCCGTGGCTTGGAATCCATCATATACAGAAACCAAATGTTATTTCCCTTGTGTTGTCAAGGGCCAACTCAGGGTAGATTCTGTCCCACCCCCTCCTCCCCAGAGGGTCTTCAGGGACACATATTTCCATTTCAGGAGCTGTGGGGACAGTCCTGGATTGCAATGAACTTACCAGGTACGCTTGGATCAGTTATTTCTGACTGGGCCTCAGTTTCTCCATCTGTAAAATGAGGATATTGGGTTACATGACATTCAGCATACTTTCTGGCACTAATACTCAATTACTGTTTAATTGCAACAATGGTAAGAACTGATCATTTGTTTCCTGGAGTATAATTCAAACTTCTAAAGAAACCAGGAGCTGGTTCTCCACTGTGATTCACAGGTAAGCTGCAAAAGCTGAGGAGCCCTTGCATGGATGATTTTGTCTGTGTATTTTTCTGGATGATTCTGTGCATGCATCCAAGTGATGGCAGGACTAGCTATTGTGTTTGCCTGCTCAGCTTCCTTGTCTTTCACTTCTAGCCTAGAATCCATTTTTTTTCCTTTGGAAACTGCACCTCCAACATCCAGTAAGGCTGTCAATCACACATTCCCCTCCCAATTCCCTTGAAAAAGGTAATCAGGTGTATGATCTAAAAAGGACCTCCAGGGAGCTGAGATGGATGCTGGGAGAGAGAGGCATCTCTCCTCTAAAGTCCAAGAATACTCAAAGCTGTTGGGGGTCATCTTTGCCACTAAGTAGACAGATACTAGCAGGGACTGACATCAACCTCATGGAAAGTGCAGGAGTAAACAAGGAGGAAGCGAGGAGGAGGGGGGGAGAAAAAAAGGAAGAGAGAAAAGGTGGGAAGGAAGAAGAGAGGGAGGGATAAAGAGAGATGGAGAAAGAGGGAGGAATTGTGAGAGAGATGAAAAGGGAAGGGAAAGAGGGAGAGGAGGAGGAAGGATGCCACCAATGGCTTAATTTCTTAGTACAGCACGAGCTCTAGGTCCAGCTGTGCCTAAGGGGAGATTTACACCTTGGCTCTTCCAGTAAAGTAAGTCCATCATTTCCCTTTTTCTTTCTTTTATCTTCAAGTCCATGGGTTCCTCAAATGGGGATCCATGACCTAAACGAGATTAGAAACCACCACAATTGGAGCATTTGTTTGACATGGAAGGAACTCACTTCAGAAAGAAACAAAGTTTATTTGATGAATATAAATAAGGCGATCAGCACAAAGTACTTTTCATACACGTGATAACAAATTTATGAACTGTACATACCTTGCACGCTGTACTTCTACTAGACACGAGGTTACAATGACTGGCTACTACATGCCCACTGGTAGTTTCTGAGGGTTCCTTAGTTTTATTTATTTTGTTCATATCGAAGTCCATAATCACATGGTCAATATCACAACCCACATGCCACTCACTTGGAGAAATATTACAAGAAGCACTATCAAACGAGGGTCTCTGGGAATTAGATACACTGACCCCTGGCAGCATTCAAACGCCACTCGACACAAAAACATCTCAGATAGAGCTTATGTCAACACATTTGAGGTCTCGTCATAAACACTGTTTAAAAAGTAAATGGAAACCCACTTTCAAATGAAAGTTGACACGCTGTTAACGTGCATACTAGATACACAAAAATCATTAAATACAAAATCGAGACTGTACATCGAAATCAAATGGGGTATAAAGTACAAGCCTGCTTTTGCACAAAGCAAGAAGACCAACTTCTCCTAAACGTTAGCCTCAACTTTTTTTCAACTTCATTCTGATTAAGGGGGAAACCTGCTAAAGTTTGCGCAAAGGAAACGTCTTCCCAACATCACAGTGTTTGTCGTAAACACAGAGACTATTTTTAATATGTAAAAAGGGATTTTTTTTTGGTAACTCACCCCACCCCAAATGAGAGAATATTATATGAAATGAGAAAGGATGCTATGTTAGACAGAGTTTAATTTTTAAGGGACTAAATGATATGCTCCCAGAAAGTTTAGATTGGTAATACTTTAAACCAACAAAAGTGGGGCAAAAAATGATCCCCCCAAACAACAGCTGTGACAAAATTGGCACATACTTGGAAATTGCTAAGTATACACAGTTGGTTGCTTTTTCTGTTTCTAGGACCTTATATTCCCTAGTGGATTTCTTATTTCCTACTTCAAGTATTCAGGGGCAGAGTTCAGATCAGGACCTGACTGTAGGAGGCAGTGAGGCCACCTCACCCCTAGTTGAGGACACCCAAACTGTTCATGGGGACGAGTTGGTGGCCTGGGTTTTCAGAGCGACCTTATGCCAAAATGTACTAAATACATTTGCGAAGAACTCTGCTCATTTCTCCGATCAAGACCTAGATCCCTTTGATAATTAAAGGACAAACTTTTTAAACATGAATGTATTTGGATTGCTTATGCAACACGAAAGCTTCACACAGTTCGCGATACTGACTGACAACAAGAACAAAGCCAGAAGCAAGAAACCTGCTTGAATATATTACTCCTAATGCACCAAGGATGAACAGTGCAACCCAGACACAGTTGTGTCTTCCCCGATAGATAAATAAGGTGTCTGACTTTTAAATATCTCTATGGCTCACAGGAGAGGTCCAGAATTAATTGCACCAACGTTTTAAAAAGTAATAATAGTGACTAAAATCAATGCAAGACTTCAGGAACATCTGCTTAGAATCCTTTCCACAGCAGCAAAAAAAGACAACTATATTAAGGCCACTCATGCTTAAATTCACTGTTTGTCCTTTAAAAATGCAGATTTTCATCGCCCACTTGCATACACGTGGAAGGCTTTCTTCCATCAACAAGAAAATGGATCAATATAAGAGTTGCACATGTTTGCCAGACTTGATCATGAGTTTTATGAAGTTATAAGAACTTGAATTTTTTTTTTCATCTTCAGAGGAAGAAGCAGTAGGAGTTTAATTCTCCTTCGTACCAAGTCACTGTATGTAAAAGACCGCAAAATTCGGTCTCTTTCCCTGGCATGTGCTTTAAATGACTCTGTACCACAAAAATGTTGTGTAGAGCTATATACAGATACACAGCTTTTGTGATTATTCCTCATTCATCAATGTTTTCATGTTTGATGCTGAAAATGTTTTGGAATCCACATTGGAGACATTTTCAAAAAATGAGAAATGACCCTTCGTTTACAGAAGATCTAAGCTTACACTGTTTGCACAGCATTTGGATCTTGAATGTGAATGAGTCCCAGCTTCTTCATGGAGACCTGCATGTACGGGAATGGTAAGAGTCTGAGGCTCGGCCGAATCCCAGCCGCGGGAGATGTACGAAACACACAGAGCAGAAATATGCAGGTGCCTCAGGCTATGGCCACTCCCCAGTACAAAACAGGGTAGGTAGAACTATGAATGGTCAATTTAGATGTGCCATGCATTGTCAGAGACACACAACCATGTTCTCATAAGGCGATTTCTTGGCAAGTATTAGTGGTTTAAAAAATTGATTTCATTTCCAACCTGGCCCAGAGGTAACTACTGGTTATACCATCAAAATGTAGTTCTTCACACAGCGGGTTAAAGAAACAGAGGAGGGTAAAGGCTCACCATTTTTGGTGTTTTGGTTTTTCTGTCAAACACTCCATGCATCTTGGCATACAAGCACTGCCAACACCACTCACTCACAGGATTTACACCTTTTGATAATCTAATGCATTAGGAATGACTACTTAGACTGAACCGGCAGAGAAACAGGAGATGAAGCTAGTTGTCCAATTGAAGCTGAATCCACAGTAAAAATCCCATGGAGTTCAAATTTATCCAGTGATGTTTAAGTAACGTAAGTAAAATGTTATCAAATAATGACATTCCGAAGAGATGAATGCATTTGAAATATCCAAATCCTGACCAAAAAAAAAAAAAAAAAAAAAAGGAGGCTCCACCATTTTCTCCTCCTGTGCTTTCTTCCTTTCCAACAGGTCTGCATCCGTGAGAAAGGACATAAGGTGATGAAGGAAATATCAAGTCGAAAAGAATCGGGCTCATAATGAAAGTAAAAATTCCTCTTCGGTCCTGATGAGCATTCCAGGTGGTGATGGACAGTGATGGGAGCTGTGCTGCAATAGATTATCAGAGTATTGCTGCAGAGCTGCATTTCCCCTTTAGTCAGCCCTTCTGATAGCTGCAACAAGAAAGCACACAATTTAGCAGGGAAAGTAACGGGCAGGCATCTCAGAGATAATCCTGGCAGACACTCCCCTGCCCCTGCACCAACCCTCCACCACTCTCTTTGGTCAGGGCTGATGGGGATTGCGGGTGGCAGTGATGGGGAAGAAGCGCAGAAGAATGATAAAGTCAACAGAAAGTTCAGCTATGTCCTGCAGACACATCTGAGAAGAGGCCACTTTCAAAATATTTCACATACAGGTGTAGATGCCTCTTGATGTGCAAAAAGAAACTGAAAGGAAATCAGCCAAAATGTTCCAGTGGTTATTTCTATGTAATCAGACTGTATGTCAAGTTTTTCCTCTCCAGTTTTCTACAAAGAGTATGGTTTTTAAACTTGACTTTGTAGACATTAGAGAGTTAAAGATGGTCAAGACACCAGAAAACTTAACATTCACTTACAAACCAACTAAGAGCAACAATTTAAAAGACTACTGAAAGTTCCACTCCCAGGTATATGCCCAGAAGAGTGGGAAACAGATACTCAAACAGATAACTTGTACATAAACGCTCATAGCAGCATTAGTTACAATAACCACAGGCAGAACAAACTCTCAAGTGTCCATCAACAGATGACTGGATAAACAAAAGGTGGTACAGACATACAACATGGTATTAGTCAGCCCTAAAAAGAAATGAAGCTCTAATTCATGCTACAACGCGAATGATCCTCGAATACATCATGCTGAGTGAAAGAAGCCAGTCACCAAAGGACAAATACTGTATGATGCCACTTATATGAAGTATCTAAAATGGAGAAATTCAAAGATGTAGAAAATAAATTAGAGGCTACCAGGGACTCGAGGGGAGAGGGGAATGAAGAGTTATCTTTGAATGGGTATAGAGTTTCTGTCTGGGGTAATGAATGGGAAATGGATAGTAGTGTTAGTTGTATAATTCTGTGTATGTATTTAATGCTGATGAATTGTACACCTAAACTGGCTAAAATGGTAAATTTTAAATGTATTTTTTACCACAATAAAAGCATAATTAAAAAATAATATGGCTATCTCCTTAAAGAGAACAGAGTGAAACAAAGCTGGCTGTCATCCCCACATCCCATAGCATGTGTGTATATGTTTAGCCTTAAATATAAATGCAGCAGTCATCCATATCCAGGAGCACCCCAAGTTTTCTCACTGTCCCCATCAGGGTCCCTGGGTGTGGAATATAACTGCAGCCTGGAAAGAAACAGCAAATCGGGTAAGAAGAGAGAACCATCCCATCTCGAACATTCGAATGATGACTTTCTTCCCTACTGATGCTCGACTTTGTGTGCCTACATCATTATCATTCACATATGGCCTTTGAACAGTTTGGGAGTTTCCAGGCACATGGGAGTAGGGCGGCTATCTGGGGACTATGGCGGAGAGAGGAGAGATCAAACACACACACATACACACACACACACACACACACACACACATGTGAGCCACTTTTTATATCTAGCCTGAGCTGTCTGATTCAGTGCTTGATACAGAGCATTTCTCGAGTCACACTGACTAATGAGCGAACCAAAGATCCCAACGTCTGCACAGGTAGGCAGTTATTCTGAGCCCTCATTAAACAGTGCAAATGAAATATGTGGCTTGGATGAACTCTGCTAATTCATACTCTGAGGAGTTTGGTGTAACCCTTCTGGTTAAGAAACTTGAATCGGGGCAAAAAAATGACTTTTGCAGAGCCAGAAAGCTAGGGAGTTCCTAGAGCAGATCATATTACTCATTCTGGCACATAAAATCTCTGCAAACTTTGTATGAAAATTGTAAGTCAGAGCACGCTTTCTGCTTCATGAGCTGCGCATAGCTCTAATTCTTTTGTGCATTAAGCATTTCTTAATCATCCTTTTAAAGAGCTGACCAATATGTTGATAGGCCACATGATTAAAAGGGAAAGAGAAACCCAAAGAAGTACTAAAATGCACTGGTCCTATTTTACAGATGGGGAAATGAGTGAAAAACAATTACAGCACATGTCCGATGTCCTTGATGTTTTTCCAAGATAAAGTAGCAAAGAACAATCATTTATTCAGTGGAGAGAAAGATTTCCAGCTGAGTAACAGGTCACAGGGCAGAATACAGTGCCTCGTGACTGCCGTGCACTGCTTTGGGGTAAGGCTTATGCTGTGGAAAAGAGAACTCTCAAAAACTGTCACCACTCCTTTAATCAGACAGTCCATTCACCAAATGATCACGTTGGCAGCAGCTGGAAATGCAGATGATCCCTTGTTCAGGGGCCAATATATGCACAGATTTAAAACAAAAATTGAGTAAGGAATCATGGCTTCCAGCAAGGAGGCAATCTGGGCAGCCACCCACTGTGAGAAAATCTCTGGCCGACCCTCCCTCACCTGGACGGTTCCGGCAGCCCTAGCCATCCCCACCTGTCCTCTCATACAGCCCCTGCTCTGTACTCTCACCGAGCAGCCAACAGCGCCATTTCAACACCACCACCCGCTTCATAGTGCACTCCCTCTTTACAGACTTCACTTACAATCCCATGGCCCTCGGAATGGACCCCTGGCCATGCTGGCCTCCCTCTCTCTCTCCCCTGCTCCATGCTTCACGTTCCCTCTGAGCTGAGCTTGCTTCTGCAGTCCTAAAGCTTTCTTTCCTCCTCATTTCACAAACTTGTCTTTCTGACATGCAGTCACACTAATCCTTGACCTGACCGATTCCTACTTATTCTTCAGACTCAGTTTAGATGTCACTCCTTCCCTGGAGGTCCTTCCTTACCCTCCGGAGTGTGGGAAGTGGCACAGGAAGTCTCACACGTATTGTGCTGTCCCCTTCTGGTGACTTGCCTAGACTTCTACTGTCCAACATGGTAGCAACTCAGCACTTGAAATATGGCTAGTCCAACTTGAGATGTGCTATAAATGTAAAATACACAATAGATGTTAAAGATTTAGTATGAATTTGAGTTTTTTTTCCCCTGCTGATTTCACATTAAAATGATATTTTGGATATACTGGATAAAATTAAATATAGTACTAGAATTCATTTCACCTCTTTCTTATTACTCTTTTAAAATGTGGCTACTAGAAAACTCAAAACTACAGATATGGCTTGCCATATATTTCTACTGAACAACATTGTCTAGGCTCCAACCTCTATGAGGGTCAGGCCAGTCTTGCTCATTTGGCATCCCCTGAGCCATGCATAGTTCACAGAACAAGTTTATTCACTCACTCTTTCCATAAGTATTAGAGAGCACCTAAAGCAGGCAGAATCCGTAAGCTCCCCACTCCCACTCCAAGATTTCCTGCTGTAATCCTTGGCACTGGGACTGTGAACATCTCACACCATGATTATGTTACTTTATAGATATAATTAAGGTTACTAGTCAGTTGACTTTAAGTTAATCAAAAGAGAGTGGGTGGGCCTAATTTAATCACGGGAGCCCTTTAATAGCAGAGACTTTTCTCTTGCCGGTAGCAGAAGACAAAGAGAAATTTGAAACAGGAGAGGGATTTGCTGTGCTGAGGGCAAGGATCTGAGATTGTTTGTAGGATCCAAAAGCGGCCTGCAGCTAGCAGCCAACAAGGAAACAGGACCTCAGTCCTACAACCATAAGAAACTAAGAAACATAAGTTGAATGAGCTCAGAGGTGGGTGCTTCCTGTGCCTCCAGGTTAAATCCAGCCTGGCCCACACCTTGACTTTGGCTTTAGGAGACTAAGGAGAGAACCCAGCGGAGCCTGACCGGTCTTTTGACCTACAGAACAATGAGATAATAAATGGATGTTATTTTAAGCCACTAAGTTTGTGGTAATTTGTTATACAGCAATAGAAAGCTAATACAGCTCCTTTCTGTGCCAGGCAGTATGCTTGGTGCCAGGGACGTAATTGTAAAAATGACAGATAAAAATCTATGTATGCTCTGTGGGGCCCATATTTTCAGGAGTAAGACAGGCAACAAAGAGATACATAAGTAAATACGAAAATGAGAACTTTAAAAATTTGTGCCTGGAAGAAATTAACAGGGAGCAGTGATAGGTCTGCTTAAGAGTTATTGACTACATGACAATTTTGATCTATTTTTTTGATATGGAAATACGTCCACACTTTTTCAGTGAAAAAAGCAGATTGCAATTCCATATGCGTAGTTCAATCTCATTTCTGCATTGATGCACATAAACATAAACCCTTGTAAATGCATAAACCAGCATATTGTTAATAATTATCTCTGGGCGGTGTTTTAACATTTTCCTTAGAATTTTTTTTTTTTGGTTGCACATTTTGGATTTTTTAAACCAGAGACTGTGTTATTGGTATCACAGTGATTTCCCATTGTGAAAAAAATCAGAATTGGATGGGATTGATACTCGACTTGTTTTTTCAAAGGACATCCTGCAGTTGGTGTGCAAGGGTGGGGGTGCAGGGGGTGTGGGGTGAGCTGAGTAAGATTCCGCCCCAGGACAAGCACCCTCAGGAGAGCAGGCTGTAAGCGTGTGGTATCTCACAAATATTCTTTCGGACTGTTTTTCTTTGGAATAAAGACACCTGCCGGATTACAGCTTTCTTCTCCTGCCCTTTCAGTAGTGATTTGCAGAAACAGGCTGGGAGAAAGGGGTCTTTGGTAAACACGGTGGGGTTAAAGGGGAAACTGTTTAATAACAGTAGTAAAACGCAGGCTATTTTTGACATCTGGGTTAATGTCCATTACACTCCATGTGCTTTCCAAATGTGTGCAGTGTGCCCGCAGGTACAAAAACAGACACACATTCACAGCGGCTCTGGACGCCTCTGACACTGCACATGGTGCCCACATAAAAGTGAGCCCCTGATCAGCTAATTAACAATGGTCTGAAGAGAAGAGCTGTTGGTTCTGGGGGCAGCGGGCATCCCGTAGAACAACTCCACTACGCACTCTGCTCCCAGGAAAACCCAGTAGAGTTGTTTCTACTCAAAAAAAAAAAATCTATAACTCCATCTGTGTTATTACTTAACATCTT